ATTTTTTTAACCAAAGGGCCAGTCTCATGTTTTACCTGGTCACCGTGTTTCTTTTCGTGGGCTCCTATAAGGACTCTGCAGGAAAGCAGCATAGGGAATGTTAAAGATTATTATGGACTACTGAGTCAACTCTGCAGAACTCTGCCATCTTGCTTTTTAAAGTTGAAGACAGTTGTTGCTTCAGCCTTGTTTTCTGGGAAGAGTTATGCCAGGCACCCTGGCGGCGCATGCTGGGGCTGTGGGCTTGCTGGGCTGGGCTGGGCTGGCAGCGCCCTGAGCAGCAATTTCTGGTGTGAGTGGGGGAAATGCATTGATGAGATGACTTCTGCATTGATTGCTTTGTTTGTTGAGATTCAGAGCAAGCTTGCAAGACATGTAACGTTTTGGTGAGCCGCACTGGTTTGGCGATGTGCTTTTGGAAGGATTGGGAAGAATGTGAGTATTTTCAGCATGAATGTGGATCATGCTGTGTCATTTCAGCTCTGTGCTGTAAAGCTAGAGGATCGTGAGCAATTCTTCCAGTCCCAGCAATGTGTCATGAAGAATCCCTTGTGATGATAGCGCACGCTCTGTAACCTCTTAGCTATTGTCTTTTTTCCTTGTGAATTTTCCAACAGTGCTGGCAGCAGGAAGAGGCCAGGAGGACAGAGCCGGGGTGGCTGGTGCTGAAAGCAAGTTTGATGGTCTGGAAGAGCAGTGAGCACTAGGAATCAGTGTGAAGTTTTGTTCAGAACAGCCATTTTTCAGTTGTTCTGCTCTTCCCAGTGTTTTTCAGATTTATTTTTAATGATATTTCTAAAATGGTCCAACAGCAGCACATAGCATCTTATATCTGTAATAGGCTCATGTCCGATCTTCACCCTGAAACTCTGCTCCATTTTCTGCTTCCTATGAAAACCTAAAGCTGAGCTCCCATGGCTCGCTAACCAATATGTACGTGTCCTTTTGTCATTATCCTGCAGTCCTAGTTTGCTTCAGAGGACTTGGGTAGCAGCTGTTTGTGTGTTTTAAACCCTTACCTAAGGCAAGGGGAGACTGGAAGAATGGGGAATGGAAACTAGTAAAACAAGTTATTTATTGTGTGCTGGGGAGTATAACACAGCAGTAGCAGATGCGCACAGCTGGCTTGGTCCCATCAACCCTGGATTCTCTTCCCACAGCAGCCCGGCACAATCTGCTGGTCTACAGCAGTGTCCAAGACCAGGGCAGCTCGAATGCACACTGGTTCCTTGCACTCAATGACACCCCCTGCCCAGTTGGTTTCAGTCCTGTGTGCTGTGATCACTCGGTGCTGGAGGTATTCTGATCTCATGCCTAAGAGATGGGGTGATGCTGTTCTGTGCCAAGAACAAAAAAGAATGTTGGTTTTACAGGTTTCTTTACTGAAGGCTGTGTGATGCTGTACAGTGACAGGATGCTGTGCTGCATGCAGGTACTGGGAACCAGAGAAGAGTTAACCTGCAAATAAGGAACAGGCAGAACCTGTGAGCTCTGTTGCCTCAAAGATGAGAGTCCTAAGTATGTGGAGAAGAGTTTTATGTCTGTGAGTGTGTGTTGGAGCCAGCCCTTCTGCTACCTCATTGGTGCAGGGCAAACAACTGGTGCAAATGAAGTTGGTGGGTGATGTACGTTGGGTGGTGTTGGTTTATTTTAGAGATGTTAAACGTTGAAGTGGTACAGAGTGTTTCCTAGCATAATTAGTACCTCTCATCTGCTGTGCAGGTAGATGTCTGAACATCAGATAAAAGCCAGTGGGAGCAGTGTGGGCGTTCTGTAGCTCTGCAGAAAGGAGGCGGATGGATGGTATTCCCCCTCCTGCCCCCATCAGCAAGATCTGTCATAGTGAAACTGGGGTGTCCAATTCTCAGTATTCATGCTTTGAAAACGAAGACTGTTTTCACTACAGTTCCTGTCCCTGAGTTACTGAAGCTGGGGTGGGATAGACAAGATTACCTGGGAGGGTGTTCCTTTCTGCAGAGGATGTGGAGCCATGTGGGGCTGTGTTTGAAGAGGTGACAAGTGAGAAGCAACCTCTGACATCGTAGGGAGTCGAAAAGAGTTAGTTCTTTTCCCTAGGGCAGAAATATCTACCTGATTCTTACACATACGTGGACAAATTTGAGTGGTGAGCGCACAAAGTTATCAGTAAACAGAACTTAAGCTTTGGGAGGCAAAATATACATCTGCTTTCCACTTTGTTCTTGTGATACTTTGCAATTCCATACAGAGTTGCCTTTAGTTCTCAGCAGTACCTTATTTGATGTCACTGCCACCCCCCGTGCTGTGTGTGAAATGTGAGTGCTTGCATTAAAGATGTTGTGGTATCTAAAATCAGATTAAGGCAGCATGGCTGGGTTGCAGTACACACATGTTGCATGTTCAGAACTTTGTCATGTGTGACCTGTGTTTTGATATTGCTTTCTTGTGTGATAAATGTAGTGGCTTTTTTGTTCTGCTTGCTTTTTACTAAAGCATTTATAGGATGTCATTTCCAGCCTCTTGCAATCGAAATGTTTTTCTCTTGCTTCCCCTTTGTCTTGAGGGTCTCTTTAAATTACTGATCCTGAATCAAATTTCCTTTTGCTGCCCAGTTCTATTGCTTTTGCTGTTCAGCTCGTCTTGGTTTTGGTTGAGGTAAATAAAAGCTTATTCTTGCTAGGTTTTTGGCCTTGACATTTGCCTGAATTGTAGGCAGTGTAGGGCTGCCTGCTGACAGGAGGAGCTTTTTGACCTCAGCTGCTTTGCAAAGCTGCTGGGATGTTCCCTAAGCCGTATGGTGAAACAGAGCAGGGTGTAAATTTGTCTCCAAACTGAGCCACCACAGAGCTATAGCTGCTTGTCAGGTATGCTGCTTTTTTTGATTTGCTTACAGAGGGTGGCACAGTGCAGCTAACAGTGACAGCACTCCGGACCTCAGGGCTGCATAGGATGGAGTCCAGAATTTGCACTTGAAAATGCAGTCATTTGGTCTCCTACCTCGACAGTTGGCACAAGCAAGCAGATTTTTGCTTACAGTACTGCTGCTGCGTTTCCTTTTTTTCTTTTTTTTTATCCAGCTGTCTTTGAAAAGTTGTTTGGTGTGCACAGGAAGGCTAAAATGACCTTGTGTAAACCACCAAAGGACAGCATAGAAGTGTAGTGTCAAGGTGATGACTGCTCAGACTGCTATGAATTTTATGCCCAACATTTATTAAGTAGGGATGGAATATTGAAGGTAGTGGGAGTTTGTTTAGAATTGCTTCGTGTACAGCTAAAATAACTGATGTTTAGTTCTGACTTAAAGCTTACTGACCTGTAGAGGACATGTAGTTCTTGTAGATTTGTTTGTGTTTGGTCCTCTTAACATTTGGATGTCTGACGGCTGTTGTTTCTCTTTGTTTTTAATTGGTCCTTACCATTTCAGCAATAGTGCTCCATAACACAGTGCTTTTCTTTTTCCCTCAAAGTGGCATTACTGGGCGTATTTTGAGTTTAGGGAGGATTATTATTTAATCACTTTAAAGTGCTTTGTTGAACTCGTAATGCGTGTGCTCCATGTTATAAACTTGACTCTTCATTTTGCCGTGAGAATGATTCTGCTGCATAAATGGAGAGGAGAAAATACAGCTTCTTGGCCTCGAGCTTCTGTCCTCAGAGTCTGTGTTTAATTATATACATTGAGCAGACTATTTCTTGCAAATCCATTGAATGGAAGACCTTCTTGTCATTAAATTTGGTCTTTCTAATTAAACAGATCACAACAAAACCAAAACGAAGCATATCCTTATTTTGAGGTTAAATTGGAGAATGTAGCATGTTAACTAATCTTTATTTAAAACTAGGTGTGAAATTAGGAAATGTTGGATTTGCTGCCCTTGAACCTGGCTTTTCCCATGAGGCACAACTCATTGTGTAGCTGCTGTTACCAGACAGGATCATTGAGGGATTCACTCACAGTTTTTTGTGGTTGCTCACTTCCAGCAGTTTCCTCCCAGCTTTTGGGTGGAGAAGCACTCCCTGTTGGTAGAGAGCTCGTTCTGAACAACAGAGCAAGTGATTTGAAGCATTGGAATGGCTGGTTAGGGTGTAACGTGTGTTCTGATGGCTCACATAACATTTCTGGTGTGATGCGTGTAGATGCAGCATGCGGTGCTGTGCTGCAGCATTTTTAGGAGGTGGCTCTGAGGATGCCTCATACAGAACAGCTCTGGAAGTTTGGAATCCTCTGTGCTCTTTGAGCTGAGCTACTCAAAGCATTCACCTTCACATCCTTGCCATGAGAGCCCTTTGGGCAGGGAGAGCTGCAGGTGAGCAGACCCAGACCGTGGCATCTCTGGGAGTTTTCCTGATGCTTGAGTTCCTGCAGTTTGTTAGTTGTGCATTTTTGTTAATTTATTAGTTTTGCTTATGTTACTTTGTTGTTCTGAAGGGAAGAAGATCTAGCACAGGCCTGAGAATTCAGCTGAGACAGCGATCTTCTCATCTCCTCCCTTTTTATTCTGTTCTTAAATTGGTTTATGACTCCTAGCTTGTTGTCTTTTTGCCATCTACCCAATCCATAGCATGTTCTAGAAATTAGCAATGGGATGTAACTGTTCAAAAAAAACAGGAAAATCCTGTCCTTTTAGGCTCTTGCACAACGTGGAGTAGAGAGCAGTGGTTCCTGCTGAGCCTGGTGCACCAGGGAGGAGATAACCTGGGAGCAGCAGCAGCGGGGCAGCAGCAGTCCTTGTAGGAGTCTTTTCTTGTACTCTTGATTTCTTGGAGGAAGAAAGAAAAGAAGCTGGCAGTATCACATTGTATATTTCCATATGTTTTACATCAGGTTCTGCAGCCGTGGGTTAGGTGAATGTAGCATGTAAGTGATGCATCATGTTGATTAATGAGGAATGCAGTCTTTTTTTTGCTTTTTTTTCTTTTTGTTTTTGTTAGGAAGGGGGATTAATGACAACTCGCAGTTGATTCAAGCTTGTTGCAAAACCAAGACTTAAAAAACTTTTCTTTGTTGTTTTATCTCACAGGCTGGATGGAAAGAAAATCATGCAACGTTTATGAATGAACTGAAAAATCTGCAGGCGTCAGGACTGACAACCCTTGGTCAGGCACTCAGATCATCTTTTGACTTGTTAAATCTCAATAGATTAGTGTCTGGAATAGACAACTATGGACAGGTAACTAATCTGTCTCTAGTCTTCCTTTTTCTCTGTGTGCTTCTAAATTATGGTAGGGAGGGGTTTTGATGGTTTAAGTATATCTTTGTGGGGTTTTTTTCCCTATTTTTCAATATTCTGTTGGATAATTATATGTTAAAACTTGACAGATTTGATTTTCTTTCTTACTGCATGTTCTGATCATACCATGAGATACCATGATAATATTTTTTTTTCTTCTGGAACTTCAAAGTAGTAGTACAAATAACTCAATCTGTAGTGGGCAGTTGCTGCTTTAGAACATGTACACTGGATGGCAGCAAATTTTATTTTCAGTTTTATTTTATCAGTAGTTACCATTCTGTCTTTCTCCTTTCTCGCATTTGGAAGATTCAGTTAAAAATACTCAGTTTTTGCCCCGCTGTCATCATGCAATGATGACTTCACTGAGTTATTATGAATTTATATCATGCTTCTGTGGAGTAGAAAAGTTTGAAGTTATTACTGGAAGAAAAGGACGAGTAATTCTAAAAATGTGTTTAGTGAGTGTCTGTGCACATGCAGTTTGTAAGTAGCTCTGCATGGCTCCGTGCCTGCTGGAAGAGAACTTCTGGTTTGATGGATCGTTCATCTTATTGCTTATTTCACGATGACAAAAATATTAGTCTACAACTGAATGTCCTGTGCTTTTGTTTCTAGGGAAGGAATCCATTTTTTCTTGAGCCATCTATTTTGATTACCATCACAGATGGAAACAAACTGACGAATACAGCTGGAGTTCAGGAGGAGGTAAACTGACATTAAATTCTTTCAAGTTATGATCTTACAAGTTGGTGCTGTGTTGAGGTGAATATTTCTTATACTTTTATTCCTGCAAAAAGTGCTTCTGTTTCATCAGCTTGTTCTACATAGCAAGGAAGCTGGATATGCTGTCATTGCTCAGCCCTCAATTTCATAGCCCATGTGGATTTCCAGACTGTAACTTCAGATAAACTAGAGGATAGAAGAGAAATGGGGTGCTTTACAGAGGAATAGGTGTTACGTTTTCAGATGGCTTATCAAATATTGAAAACTTTCTTAAATCTTTCTTTACCAGCTTCATCTTCCTTTGAATTCTCCTTTGCCTGGAAGTGAACTAACCAAAGAACCATTTCGTTGGGATCAAAGACTGTTTGCTCTAGTGCTGCGTTTGCCAGGAGCTGCATCTGTTGAACCAGAGCAGCTTGGGAGTGTGCCTACTGATGAATCTGCTATCACACAGATGTGCGAAGTTACAGGAGGTACCTGGATATTACTTTGCTCTGATTTACATTTGGCATTTGCCTTAAAACATGTATTTGATTCATTTTTGCGTTAGCTTTTCTCTCACTCAGAATTACTCAGTATCTGCCCGAGTCTTTGTGGTTCTCTTTGAGCTTAGTTTCCTGCAGCATGGGAGAACTTTCTTTGTCACGTTCCTGTTTCAGATGTACTGGATGTGGGAGTGTTTTCTCAGTGCACCAGTGTAGGAAGGATTGAAAATTTCTTAGATTGTCCTTCCAGGGGTTGGCTCTGCTCACTCATGAGGTTGTTATTTACAAGCATAAATGTTGAGTTGTGAGGAAGAGACGTTACTTAATGGGATGATAATTCTGCTGAACGGCTGATAAACTAATACTGAACCTTAAAATAATTAGTTTTGGACTTTGTTCTTCAAGGTCTTTCAGAATTTTTGTTAAATTGGTTCTTGACAAAATGTTGCATGGGAGGGGAGGTTTGGGTTTGTGTTGGTGTTGGTTAGATTTCAGTAGACAAATTGTACAGACTTTGTGAAATCAGAATTTGTTGAGGCCCTTGTAAACTTGCTCTTATTCCAGCCTGATTTAGCCTTAATGGCTTTTCTTATGGAGAATTAAAAGCTGAGCTGTTTTTTTTTCCTTTGGTTTTATTGCACTTGTAAAGCATTTTGCATCAGTTTCTACTAAGCTTGCTGCTGTTATGTTTGATAAAGCTGAAAGCCTTGGCAGTGTGACTTCATTTAACAAAATATCTTCCTTCATTTACACAGGGAGAATAGGAAAGCTTTGAGTGATCTTAATGTTCTCTTGTAGGTCGTTCTTACTGTGTTCGGACACAAAGAATGTTGAACCAGTGTTTAGAATCTCTAGTTCAAAAAGTCCAAAGTGGAGTTGTTATTAACTTTGAAAAGTCAGGACCAGACCCAGCTCCTATTGGAGAAGGTACAGTAACTGTTTTTTCTACTGTTTTTTAAAAAGTGTTCTGTGTGCATGCAAATGTCCTGAAGTGTCTTCAGTTTCCTGCTAACTTTTCACCGCTGTGTACAGGATTTCTCAGAGGCCTAATATAATCTAAAAAAAAGTGATTAAACTGTAAAGTTTCAGTGCTCTGGTTTCTCTTTAAATATTCCAGATCACAGTGGGTGCACTTTCTATAACTTTTGAGTTGTGTTTGTTTAGTCTTGTCTTTGCTATATTGTTCCCAGTATTAGTTTGGTCCTTGGTGGGTTGAACAAGTGCTGTATGTTTCTATGGATGTGAATGGATAACCTTCCTGCTTGCCAGCTCTCCTGTCACTTTCTTCACCTCTTTTTTTGGAGGCTGAAGGAAGCAACAGAGGGAAGTGAGTATTTAATGAAAGTGCTAAATATTGAATTAGTGCTGTCAAAATTTGTGTATAAATGAAATAAATTCAGGAGTATTTGAGTCATACTGTTAACTGATCACAAACTCTTGAATGTTCCTTGCTGCAAGTGAAAAACTCTGTGCTAAGAACAAGGAATTGATCTGCCAGCTGCAAGTGAAGTGCACAACCAAATAGGAAAATGCATCCTTAACATGGAACAGGGTTTCAGCTTTGCAGAATTCATGGCTGGAAAGGAGAGAGCTGTACTTAGAAAATAAGGGTGTTGCTGGAATGTCAGAAGCACGATAGCTTTTAGGATCCCCAGGGCATCCCAGCATAGCCTGTTTTTAACTTTGTTTTCATTACTTGTTTTTAATCACTTTTTTCTTGCTTTATACATTTTTTTTTCTCCTTTTGCTTAATAAATATCATTTGATTGGAAGTATGCTCAAGGCTTTCCTGTAGGGCCATGCAGGACAGCACCTCAGCAGATTCTTGGGTCTCTGTTGGCTCGAATGCTCTCCTGTGGCAAAACAGCTGGTGAAATTGGTTTTTTTCCTTTTGTCACATTTTAAGTGGTGATGTACTGTGAATGCATATGCATGAAGATGCTTATGAGAACTTCTGCCTTTACATAAATTGAGGAAGTCCTCAACTAGAGAGAAATGTGGTGTTCACCAAAGCTGTAGGGTCACTGTGTATATAGCGCAGAGGAGCAAAAAGTGCTGGCAGACTGAAAGGCACGCTGTGGTTGGCCAGCAGTCGAAAGCAGGTCAGTTTAGTAAACTCAAATAATGCTAAGATTCGTTAGGAAGGTGATCTCTTTTGTGCTGTATCAATTGGAGAGCAGTCTGAGAAACTTCTGAGATGCTGTGCTGCTACAAAGCTCTTTGCAGTCAGGGTGGAGGGAACTCTGTGCTAGTATGCTACAGCAGGCTGGCAGATAACACTGCTTTTTCCAGGAAGTGGTGGAGATGAAGTGTTCTCTGACTGCTTTCTCATTAAGAATGTGACAAAAGCTGCTCCTGCCAGATGCATTTGACTTTTCCATGAAACTTTTCTCCACTTTCAGTTTCCATGAGTGGCGACATCAGTCAGTGAGCTTTGCATCCCATGTAGAAAGACTGTAAATGCAAACTGTCTGTCTTTACAGGTGCAGCAGAACTAAAATGAAAGACTTGCTACTGCTTATCAGATGTGTGTCCAAGTACTGATCTTAGACAAATAGCATTTTTCATAATATGAAAGTGCCCTGCTGCACTAATTATCTAATTGTTATGCCACTGGTGTGGAAGGATAGATGGACGAATGTTACCAATTTTTTCTCAGATTATGCTGTTTTACACTTAATGTAGCTTTTTTCAACCACTGATGTAAAGATCTGTGTCTTTGAAAGAGTTGTGATGAAGCACCTTATTGGTTACTAATACAGAAATTTTGCTGGGAGACAAATGCATGCCATGTAGCTTTTTATTTTCTTTTTTTGTTGTTATTTTGCTTTGTTTAAATTTTAGATGGACTTGTTGATTCATCCAGGCCCATCAATTCATTTGCTTCTCAACCGTGGCATAGTTGTCATAAACTCATTTATGTACGGCCTAACCCCAAAACTGGTGTTCCTGTTGGGCATTGGCCAATCCCAGAATCTTTTTGGCCTGATCAGAATTCACCAACACTGGTAAGTCAATAAGAACTGAAAACAAGGATTCTGCACCTAATTAAACGGATTGAAAATGAATACAATTTTTTTTCTTACATTCTCTGTTTGCTAACATGATCTGACTTCACTTTAAAAGGGTAGTTAACATTGTTTTTAACACAGAACAATGTCATGGAGATAATCTATGCTGTTACTTTCTATTTGAAAGTTTTACTTCTATATGTAGTTGGATACTTTGGTAAAGCTTTGAAAAGATTGTAGAATTGATCTACAAATTACCTTATACACCACAGCTTTTAGTTGGAAGCTTTGTAAAATGCATTTTGGGTGGAACAGGGAGCATTTGTTGTTGATGAGGATAGATTGACCTGTTTATTTTCTGATTAGCAGTACTTCATGTACGACCTCTTCTTTCTCTACCAGAAAGAATTAAACTGAAATAGAAAAGCTACCCATTCAAAAAATAAGATAAAAACAGCATTAACTTTGCCCTTTCCCACTAGAATGACCATGCATTTGGCTTGCCTTACTAGCTCTCTTGTTAGGCATGATCTGTGTCTGCACTTTGCCAGTGGGCTCAGTGCTGTTTCCTCCCCACCACCCGTGACTCAAGGGGAAAAGAAATCAAACTCAGCAGGGAGTATCTTGAGAATATTGTTTGGGAAGTGAGTGGTTTATAACCTGTAATTCCGTGACAACAGCAAGCTGGAAAGCGGAATTGGAAGTTTTCTTCAAACATAACTGTGATAGGGGTTGAACAGCATGGGCACTTCTAAGTATCAAGATAAATGGTTGGATGTTAACCATATTTTTCTCTTGTTGGGGAGCAATGTCTGCGTGTTTAAGCTGGAGAAATGCTTAATATTCTGTTGTAGGAGCATGTCTCCTTTTTGAAGGAAACTGGAGCAGGAGTGTTCAAGCTGAAAAGATAGTGAAATGTATACTTCTGAATTTTTTCTTTCCCAAAGAATTAATTTGCTTTTAACTGTAAGTACCAGATAACAGATATGTTATATTTCTCCCTTCCTTTTAGCCTCCACGCACAGCTCACCCTGTTGTGAGGTTCTCCTGTGTTGATTGTGAGCCAATGGTAATAGACAAGCTTCCTTTTGACAAGTACGAGCTTGAACCTTCACCCTTAACGCAATACATCTTGGAACGAAAGTCTCCCCATACCTGCTGGCAGGTATTTGCCCTTTATTTGATTCTAGAAGCATAATGAGTACCCTAAAGTGACTGTACTTTAGTTTTTGTAGGCCTGGAGGTTTTGGGGCCTGGTGTCAGACTGCACCTGATTGGAAGAAGCTTGTCAAGGTTTCCGTTACCTTCTTTCTAATGAATTATGAAAAGCTAGAGTGAATGTTTCCTCTACAGGTTTTGTAATCTCATTTGATTCTGTTTCTAGGTCCCTTTCATTTTGCTGAGAAATGTGTCCCTCAAGCTCCATTCTTGGCTATCTTGCAATTCTCTGTAGGCTTTCATTTGCTTTTGGGAAAACCTGGTGCTTGTTTGCATCGTAGTTTCAGATGTTGATTAGGTAATGATTTCCACTAATTGAAACTGCTGGTGGGAGTCAAATGGAAGCTGTTGATTTTAACCAGATTGACCTTGAAAAGGCTGAAGTTCTGTTGTTGAAATCATTTGTGATTTGGATAAGTGACTTGTTCCTGTATTCTCTAGACAGTAAGGCTTGTAATTCTCTTCTGAACTGTGTTCTTGGAAGGGCTATCTGAATAGATCCAAGAGGAGCTTGACGAGTAATATCGTAGCTGGAAGGGTGGGACTGGAAATGTCTTTGTTCTGCTTTTGTTTCCCTAAAACGTGTTACAACTTCACTTAAAGTGTAACATTTTGGAAGTTGGTTTTAGTTGAAGAAGTCGAAGTTAATTTTAACAAACTTATTTCAAATGTGGGGTTAAAGCACTCCCAGGTATTTTACTTGCCAAAGTCATCCAGGAAATCTTTTTTGACTAAAACCTTTCTGCTCTTTTTCAAAACCTGCTTTTTCTTCTGCCTGATCAACAGACCCATCTGTGCTTGGGAAATGCTCTCACTGTAGAAAGTGTAGAAGGAACCCCATCCCTTAGGCCACCTCCACTCCCAGTAAAGTTCCTGGAAAAGAAATTGAGAAAAAAATGTCCTTTGGAACTGCAAGATTAGATTTTTCTTAGGCAGATTATTTTTGTGTTGCAGATTATTTTGAATGTCCCAATATGTACCGTGCTCATCCTTTAAAACATATCTTTGCAAGTATTGCTTTCTCAGGATTAGTGTTCATGTATACTTCAAAGAAGTCGACATTAAGAAAATGGAAATATGACATAATTGGAAGTTGAATATTGAACATTTGTGTTTGTGTGGGCTTGCTACCTTAGTCTAAAAAGTTTCAGGTTTCTTTTTATCAGTGTTGTAAATGTTAGTCATGCTTTTCTATGAGTCAGAGTCATTTCAAGTGTGTTGTTTTTAATATGTCTTTAATAATGGTCCCCTAACCTATTTTAAATAATCTCCCTGCTCTAATTTTACACCTTGAAGAGCATTTCCATACTGGCTGGCATACACTAAGTGTTGCATGTCTGCGTTTTGTAGCTGGAGAGTTTAAGTGCATGCTCGTCCTGATGCGTGCCACCTTCAACTTGGCTGTTCTTGATAATGGTTGTCTCATTGCAGTTGAATTCAGACTTCTTTAAATGCTGTATGGTTTGTATTCTTTGTGTTCCTGTAATGCAGTGATATCTTTTCTTTTTCTTCAGGTATTTGTGAGCGGCAGTGGAAAATACAGCGAGCTTGGCCATCCGTTTGGGTATTTAAAAGCAAGCACTACTTTAACCTGTGTAAACCTCTTTGTGATGCCTTACAACTATCCTGTTTTGCTCCCACTGTTAGGTAGGTAACACGCTTACATTGGACTGCAGCTACTTGAGAATAAGAACAAATAATTGAGAAGTGGTTGGTGTTCTGCCTTAGCTTGAGACGTTATAAAGTAACGGAGATTGGAGAGTAGAGAATGTTGCAAACTCTTTAATATTAAATTTGGGAGGAGAGGATTTTCATACCCCCTCTCCCTTTTTTTCTCTCCAGCAGAGGAGGAGAGCTACCTGCTTCCAGTGCATGTTTGATGCTGTTCACCTCCTAGACACGTAGCCTCTTCCTTAACCTGGAGTAAGCTTCAACCTCCATTCTTTTCCCTCATTTAGGGTATGGTGTATCCAGGTTTTTCAGTTGCTCTAGTAGCAGCTCATTTTTTATTTTTTCTGGAGGATCAGATGCAGTGTTATGGGTGTTGGGAAGAGGGAATTCCCTGATGCTGTTTAGAGCTGTAAGAAAGAATAGAGCAGTGAAACAGCCTACAGTTCTTCCCTGCCCAGAGGACCAATGTTTTTCACTCTCAAATGAACTTCCTTTCTACAAGAGAGATGATATGAAAAGGTGCTGTGTGAGTAACTGCCATTACCAATTGTGACTGCTGGGGTTTTGGCATAAGGATAATGGCAGAAAGTTTGTTACTAAGCTTTTTAGTTACAGATATAGGATACTTAAATTTATTTTTTTTTTTTTTTGTGGGTGTATTTAATGATACAAAATAACAGTGGAAATCTAAGAAAGTTAACACAGGTTTGATTCTTAGTATCTTACACAAGATTGTTGCATTTGGTCTGGAAAACAACTTAGCAATGCTTTTTCCTAATTGATCTTAATGAAAAAGAAGAGAAATCTGTGCTTGCTGATCAGGTGAATTTGATGATAATGATCCTTGTAGCCTAGCAGCTGTCCCAGAATGTGGAAGCAGGAGACTTCAAGATTAATTTAGTGTTCTCTGTATGCTGGTGGCTGCTGAGTTACTCACTGAAAAGTCATCAATGATACCAGAAGAATTTCCCTGCGTGTTAAGTTCAGCTCTTGTTCCAGGTTGTTGTTCATCCTTAGTCTCCAAGGCATGATGGAATTTATGTTCATGGTGATCCATGATGGAAGGATCTAAATAGTATCACATTCTGTAGGTTTGGTTATTTATGTCTGTTTCTGCAAGAGTGGGTTTTTAGTATGTTCAGCCTGAGGAACACTTCAGAAGGCAGAACGTTTCGCAGAAGGATGCTGAGGTACTTCAGTGCTGAGTGTGTTTGGCAAGCAGGTTACAGAAATTCCCTGTTGAAAGATTGGTTTTGATCACCAAATTCCTAAAGTGAAGGTGAGGGAACAGACGTGGATCGGAGCAGAGGTGAGGTGCTGTGTTGCACAAGGTGTTTTGTGACTGATCTCACTCGTGTTAGTGGGAGGTCATGTCTGCCCATGGAGGGCTGCAGAAGCATCAGAAAGCTCAGGGAGTCAACATGGAGTGGTGCTGTACTTGTCCAGGTGGAATCTAATGTGGGTGGTGATGTTTTCTAGTGTTTTTACTTTGGGTTATGTGGTGTGAGCTGTCACGACTGGACTGTTGTCAGATGAACTGCTCTGGTAATTAGGTTCCAGCTGAACTACTAAAGTTGGATGCTTGTTGACCATTTTCTCTATCTTTCCCTCTCTTTGTTTTTAAACTATTCACTGAGTTTGAAAGTGCATCGAGCACCATTTGTGGCACTGGATATAAAAGATGTGTATTGTTATCTTGTTTGTCTTGATCTGGTGGTTCTCTGTGTTGGTGTAGGGTGGATAAAGGACTTTTGGAGCACGGCTTATACTAACTGATATGTAGTTGTACCTGTTCTCTTGGAATTGTTACAGCTTGTGGTCCATTCCTGGTGGTTACTAAATGCCAGCTTCCCAACAATCCACTGCTTTCAGCTTTCTCTGAGCTTAGGAGAAGTTAAAAGAATTTTATATTGATTTCTGGACTATGTGAAGTAGTATCTGAAAATCAGTAGGTTGGGTTAAAACTGCTTTATGAAAATATTATTTAAAATAATATTTAATATTATTATAGTAATCATTATAATATTATAAAATATTATCCAAAGGATTTGGATTTGATCTGTGAAAGATAGTTAGCTGAGTTTTTGTTTCCTTACTTACATAAATGATGGGGTGCAGCCCAGTGCACAGTGGAAATAGTACATTTTGAGTGCCTGTGTTGTAACCTGCTAACAGTGCATGTCTCAAACTCTTGCAATAGAGGCAGGTAAGATACTGGTGATCTCCTTGAAACTTGTGGCCAAGTTTACTGCTGTGACATTCTTCCTTTTAGAAGAAACTCGTGCTGTGGGGGAGGCTCTCACTGCAGATGAGACAAGTCTTTGCTGAAGCTCTGCTTAGATTTGAGAACTTATTCAGACAGCAAAGATTGTATGCAGTTGAACCAGAGCGTATTATGAACATCTCTACTGTTTAAGAGTGGCTGTGCTGTCAAACTTCAGGGATTATATGCTGGAACTACCTGCACAGAGGAAGACATGGGACAGTAGTAAAGCACTGATAAGGAGTTCAAGGTTAAAGCTGTTACAAGCAACTCATAGGCTTTAAGCTATTAGAACGTGCTATAACACTGAACACTTTACAGGATTTCTAATGTTTTTCATTTTCAGTTTTGGGAGAGAGGTATAGTTAACTTCTGCCATAAAGAGCTAATGGGTTTCTAAGACACGAATGGATATTGCTTTGTATTTGCCATATATTGTGATACTGTCACAGGCTTCTTAGGATAATAGTTCTAAGCATGTGGTACATTGGGATTTTAAGCGGAGTTCTAATTTAGCCTGTCAAACTCCACCCCCTTCCTTCGGGCCTGGAAAGAGAACAGCTAGAACATCTGTAGAGTGCTTCTGATACGCGGTACAAAATTCGTTTAGATTAGAAAATCCCTGTAATTAAGTATGGTTTGACTATGAGAAGTTGGAAAGTTGTGTCTTAACATCTGTTCCATTTGTGCAGAATACTATGCAAGTCAAATTTTCTTCTCCAAATACGTCTTCCTGAAAGCTCCATCTGGAGAAAACAATTTCCTTGCTGCATCTGTCTTTTTCACACCCTTCTCTGTGCAACTCTGTCACCTGCAGCTCCTTCCAGTTAATTTTTGAACATCCCTTTCTTTAGTCCTGTCTTTACTTCCACTAGCTTCACTTTGCCAATGTTAACCTACTGTTTCCCTACTAAAAAGAAACTCGATCTCAGTTGGTAATATACAATTTCTCATGATTAATTGCAGGATACTGTTGTTCACCTCTGTTTAGAGATCACTGTTACGATTTATGGCATGTGCAGCAAATGGCTACGTGCCTTAGATCAGTGATCTTTAAACGCAGCATGCACATCTCTAGTGCGAGCAAGGCATTTGTAACATGGTGTCCAAAGGAAATAATCCATCTAGTTGCCCCTCTCTTAAAGGGCAGCAGTTTTTGTAGCTAATTAGGCTCTCATCTACATGTGAGGCAGAGTTTGCTGACCTAGCGTGAGCTGGCAGTGATGCTGAAGGTACTCCACTCCCCCTTCTCTTAGAGGGGTTTGGTTTAATCAGAAACAGGGAGTCCCTGATGATGCAAGAGAGAGACAAGGGAGGTGAAACTCAGCAGGTGAATCTGTTGCACCTTCCGTGTTACCAGTAGCTGTGCACAGTATTTTAAGTCTGGCATATCTTGTAAGTTTGTCTGTAATGAGAAATTGTTCTGGACTGTCTACCAAAGCTAGGATCGGAGTTCCGAAATCCTTCATACTTAAGGTTAAGAACAGTTTCTGTGGGGAAGGCCCATTGGGAGATGGGAGGAGGGAGAAGAAAAGCTGGGTGGGGGAGAACTTGGCAGTTGAATCTGTGATAATGCTAGTGGTCTGGGACCATATAAACAAAACCTTCTTTTGTTGTTTTCCTTCTTGCAGATGACTTGTTTAAGGTTCACAAACTTAAGCCAAATCTGAAGTGGAGACAGGCTTTTGACAACTACTTAAAAACAATGCCTCCTTACTACATACTGGTATGTTCCTTTTCTCATTTTGTGCTCCTAGGTATAATAATGGCTTATGTGACCAGAATCCTGTGCACCATACCTCTTCCTAGTAAATTTTGTTGACGTAATTACAAGTGAAATTTTAGGTATTAAACATTTTGTTTTGCAGAGGTATTTAGATCAGGTCAAACGTTTTTAAAATAAATCAATTTCTTGCAATATTGAGTATTAGTAACAATATCAATGTAATTGAATGCATTTTTAGATCACTGTATATAAATGAGCTTTGATCTAATATGCTATAGATTGCAACCAAATTTGGCATTGTTTTTCTAACTTGGTAAGGAAAATGCAGATTTGTTTGTTCATTAATGTAACTGCTAGATCTGATAACTGCTGATAGTAAGATACTGGCTGGGCCAGATAAAGGGTGGTGGGAGGAACCATGTCACCTTTTACATGTAGCTTGGACAATGCACCTCAATACGGACTTGCATCATCCCGGCTATTCTGGTACTGAGCCTCTGTGGAAATGGCACCATGCCGTGTGGTGTCTTGGTAATGTGGCATAATGTCCATTGCAAGCTAGTTAGACTACCAAACTCATGTCACCTGTTATCTGAATAGACTTGAATTTTAGTTGCCAAAAGTGGAAAAGCTAGAGCACTAATCCATGTGCCTTAGCTTCCTGTAATTGATCTTATACAATTCTTGTTTAAAGACTTACTCTCTTACTATTGTGTATTTTGTTTTCCTTATAGCCATTAAAGAAAGCCCTAAGGATGATGGGAGCTCCAAATCTGATATCAGATAATTTAGATTGTGGACTTAGTTACAGTGTTATCTCTTACCTTAAAAAACTCAGCCAACAGGTAGTATTGATAAAACCTTTGCAATTAGAAGTGCGTTGATTATTTAGTTTGTGATAATCTTATTATAACACAGTTAATCCCTGTGGGAGTTCATATGGGTGTTCAGCATACACTGTAATCGAGGACTGGGTGAACGTTTCCACCACAAACACGGATGAACTCAGAGTGACTCTGTAGCCAGTGACTGTGCCTTCTGTAAGTGGTGGAGGGGAGTGAGGAGGCCTCCTCAGCTGCATTTTAAGTGTCTGCTAGACCTTTGCATTCCAAAGATTATCACTAATTGGATTTATGACTGCTCTTGCATCATTCATCAGAGCTGAAGTCAGAGGCTTGCTCTCAGTTCCACATTTGTTCCATGGACGCCTTAGCAGTGTGTACATTGCAAACAGTGGACATGCCCGTCCATGGCGAGTAAGATCATAATGAACATTTTATATCTGAGCTTCCTGTTTCCTTCAGGTCAGATCCATTATGTGTGTTGTGTCACCTGATGAAAAATAGTCTTACGGATCTTTCTCTTTTTGTCAGTAATGCCCTTTTGGGTGTAACTGTCTGAAAGCCATGCCTCCTTAGCACGAATGGTTCTTGCAACAGTAGTTTAATGTCTAGAAGTCAGTTGCATAGCAGTGCAACCCTTAGAAATCACAAAGAAAAGATCCTCCGCATTAAAGAATGCACAAAATATGTTCCAAAATCCTCTGAATGACCGAGCATCTATTAGGCATAAAATGTGTTATTTTGCTAATGTAATGACACACAAATTCTATTATTAATCTGCAATATGGAGTTGGAATGGTTTGAAGTGACTACTGTGGTTTTCACAGACGCTGTCAGGACATGAAACAGTTTAAATGTGTTGCATGCATTATAGGCTCTTATATAGGGCCAAGCAATTCCTGAACTCTGATGTGTTTCATCTGTCCTTAAAATTCAGAGTTTCCCATAAACAGTGAAACAAATCCTGCAGAGAATGAGATCTGGGGGAAGTGGGTTGAGATCACCATGCTTAGTCCAGTACAATCATCTGTAGCTGTAATAAGAAAACTTTGTTGATTGGAGGATTTACATGTTTTCAGAAGCTTAACATGAAGCAAATACCTGTAGGTTTAACTACTGTTCTCCCTTATCTTGATGCAAGCCTACTACAAACCTTAGTTATTAGGTTGTATCAAAATGAAATCTGAAATATTGTTTTAAACAGAACTTGACATTAACCTGAGGCATCCCACCTCCAGAGAGTTTTTTGTTTTTCCCTTTTAAAAGTGATTTTTCAGGAGCACAAAAAGAAAGTCACAGACTTGCAGCAAAATCAGGGACATTCAGAACCACCTACTGGCATGTAAATTTAGATAAACTGGCTAAATATTTTTTTTCTCTATGCTAGCGCTGTAGGAGTTTATTCTAAACCAGATCTAATATGTGTCCTCCAGTATATCCCTGGGTGTAGGTAGTTCTCCCATTGGTTGAGTGGTTGGGAACCAAATTGTGGTTTTATTCTGTTGATGTTTTATGCTGGCAGTCTGCAATGCTTGCTCATTCTTTAACTCGTGATGTGATTCCATTTTAGACAAAAATAGAGTCGGAACGGATAATAGGTTCAGTGGGTAAGAAAGTTCCACAAGAAATTGGAATAAAAGTGAAAAATCATTCCAGTGGCCTCTCCTTGGTGCACAGTAGGGATTTTAAGCAACTGCTTCAAGGTATCACTGGGGAATCTCCTCTGAGACTGGCGGAAATGAATGTTAAAGAATTTGCTGGCTTCCACATAGGACTCTTAAACAAGGTAAACAGCTCGGTGCTCTGAATGATTAAGCAGTTGGTTTGTTTGAAATGAGTAATTTTTATGGTCTTAACACAGGAGAAGGAATTGAGGACTTTTGCTGAATTTTGAAAAGTGCATCATTGACATAAGTAGTGACTAGAGGAAATGCAATTTTTTGCCCGTGCTTTTGGGACGTAATTTGAAAATCCCAGTCTTAAGCAATGATTACTGTGTTGGAAGTGACAATCTCTGCACAAGGCAGCTAGTGCTGTCAGTCCAGAAATGAATGCTATTCGTTCTGCTAAAACTGAAAGCGCTGTTGAAAAAAAATTGAGTCTTCCATATCTGATGGTGAAGATCTGAAGTTGCTTTAGAATAATTTTTTTTAGTAGTTGATGTTGTTACAGTTCATAGAGAAATTCCTCTGTGCGTGAGCACTGATGGGTTAACTGAAGGTTATCTGTTTTATTATAAAACTAGGATTTGAAGCCACAGGCATTCAGGAATGCATACGATATTCCTCGGCGCAGCCTTCTAGATCAACTAACCAGGATGAGAACCAATCTTCTGAAAACACACAGGCACATCGTGGGGCAGGATGAAGGTATGCTGCCTCTGTTACTCATTAACAGTTTGGAAGAGAGCAAAATGATTTAACTGACTGAAGTGGAACTTTCTGTCCTGCATGTGGGAAGGAAGTGGACCTTGCATCTTTTATTGAGTCAATCATTATCTTTTGCTAGACTCTGAAAGGGAAAGAATGAAACATTTGCCTTCTGGCGGGAAATATGTTGTGCTTGCTTTGAGTTTTAAAAAGCAATGTTGTGGAAGAAATTTCCCATGCAATAAATTGCAGTAAACCTGTTTGTATATAAAGAGGGAGACATGTTTCACTTCACCCTTGTTAGTTGAGTGCTGGTGGTCTAAATTTGCAGTTTAAAATAGAGATTGAACTTGCTTATTTTTTGTTCTTTTGCCAGTTAAACGTAACTCTTACAAACCTTGTTTCTGAAGTTGTAGTCTTGTACTTTTCTACTTCTTAAACATTGACGCTCGCAGTTGAAGTGCGTGAGGCTTTTACTGCCTTAGTTTTAAGGTCGACTACATTAAGATGTGTTGTTGTGCTGCAGACTGCCTTCACAGTGTTCCTGTTGCTCAAATGGGGAATTACCAGGAATACTTGAAAATGATGCCTTCGCCCCTTCGAGAGATTGATCCAGATCAGCCAAAAAGGCTTCATACATTTGGCAATCCGTTCAAGCAGGATAAGAAGGTAGGATGAATCCGTTATCTGCTGTATTGTTATTTGAAAGCCACATGCATTGTCGCAGAGGGAATTAATCTAGGAATTGATAAAGCAATATACGTGTTTTCTTACTTGTTTTATATACATATACATGTATTTTTTTTCAGGGTATGATGATAGATGAAGCAGATGAATTTGTTGCTGGGCCTCAGAATAAGATAAAGCGTCCTGGAGAGCCAAATACTCCAGCATCTCTAAAGAGAAGGCGTAGCATGTCACCACTGTTGAGAAGGCCACAGTCACCACCAGTTGTAACAAATCATGTTGGTGGGAAAGGGCCGCCGTGTGCTTCTGGATCCCTGGCACATGTGAACCTCAAAGGTGTACCGACAAATAAAGGTATGTTGAGTTGTAGCACAAATCTGGAGTGGAAAGTCTGTGCAAAATAGATTAAAAAAAAAACAAACCAGCAAACTCTCTGTGATTTCTAGGCTAATAGGCTAATTTTAATGATGATTAAGATAGGATTTCTTTTGTTGTAGCTAAGCAGGCTATTCTTGGAGTTAATGAAGTCCTGAATGAACAATAATTTGATGAAATATTTTTAAAAAGTTCTGAAACCTTTCGCCAAGGTGGTTTGGAGTTAGCGAGCCTTTCATTTTAGCTTTTAGTTCTCATTTGTGTATTCTGCAGTGGGGAAAGGAGAGGTCAGGAAGGAAAGTAAAAACAAATACAGTTATGTTTACATACCTATTGCAGCAGAGTCCAGAGAATACTCTTAGTTGTTGAGCTAGGGGAGGGAATACTTGAACTTTACTGTCAGAGTGACGGAGCACTGGCTGCCCTGGGAAGTTGTGGAGTGTCCTTCTCTGGAGACATTCAAGACCTGTCTGGACACTGAGCTGTGCCACCTGCTGTGGCTGCGTCAGCTGTGGGGTTGGACTCTGTCATCTCCAGAGCTCCCTTCCACCCCTACAGTTCTGTGATTCTGTGATTTTTAGTTTACTTAGAAGTCATAGCACTGCAATAGGAATTCAGAAAACGATGTCTTTGTGACAATTCTATCAGATGGTTGCTATCCTAAGGGATATTTTCATTTGATTGCCTTGATTATTGGATAAAACTTCTGAAGAGAATTACTCAGCACTCTCTGATCGTGACACAGTACTTTAAATGAGAAGGGATGCAGGGTAACTTCCTTTTTTGGCTTTTGATACTGAATTATTCAATAATAATATGCATCTTTTTACTTTGTAGACACCACTAACAATATTGTCCAAGATGGTAATGGAGAGAAGAAAGCAGAAAACTGTCAATTGCTGGAAAAACAAATTGATGGCATATCTGTACAACTGGCTCCCTCTGTTCCAGCTGCTATGGGAGATGATGAAATGTTACCCAACGACTTGGACTCTCTACCTGATGAGTTCAATTGTTTAAGTGAAGATGGCTTGGATCACAAAGCAGGCACCAATGCACTTGTTCAAGGGCCTCTAAATTACAGTGTGGCTGGAGATGACCAAAAACGAGCGATGGAGGCGGCTTCAGAATCTGTGCCAAATTCCTTTAAAATAACACCTATGATGCTGGAGGGAAACAATGCTGATATCAAAATTAAAGTGATGAAAGAGGTTCGCAAACCTGGAAGAAGTAAGTTCTTTGTTATATAACATATAATATAATATATATATGTAATACACTAAAAATGGGCAAGGGAGAGAGAAGACTTCTTTTATGTCAGAAGCTATTTTGAAAATTCGTAGAACTTTAGATTTCAAATTGTTTCTGATAACTTGGATATGAGCAGAAGAGGAACGGGAAAGGAGGAAGGTCCTTAAATGGGAGGGCAGGTGAGTTGACAGCAGGGTGTGTGGATGAGTGCCAAGTGACCTTGCTTTCCCTTTAAGTTAGATTAACTGTTGTAAGAAGTATCTTATGAGGCAACTTTCACAGGTTTTATTTTTGTAAGTGTTACCAATGATGTTATGAGACTTGATATTTCAGTAGTGGAAGGCTAACAGTCAGCAATGCCTGTCTTAGACTTTCCCTTATATTGCAGTACTCCTTGTGTGTGTGTGTATATATATATATATATATATATATATATATATATATATATATATATATATATATATACCCTGTGTACTTTGTTCTGTGTTTGTCAGAACTTGTGATTGAGGGCAAAGGCATATGTAGCTATGAGGGCTGGTACACCTTGAAATGTGATTGATGGAAAGGGAATACTGCAGTTAACAGCACAGTAATATCTTATTATTTTGAGAAAGAGTGTAATTGATGATGGAATGCTGTTGTGAGCCCATAAAAACTGAAGACTAAAATTCATTTGCTCTCTATTTTCTTGTAAGGTTTAATAATTCCCCAAAATCTGAATTGTTGTCAGAAAAAGTAACTTGGCACCTTGGCTTTTGTTACGTATAGAGCATCTCCAGCTAATGTGTGTGCTGTAGGATTTACCATAGGCATAATCTTTCAATTCTTCTTAAACTGTGGATGTCCTCAATGTAGTCTGTATCCAAGTGAGTTATTTCTACAATGTAAACTATTGAGCATTTTTCTAATACGTTGTCAGGAGCTGGTAATCAGATGGACTATTCATTCTTAACTCTTTTTCTAATCTTCTGTTGCTTTCCCAAAGCTTAGCATTTCTCTGAGACATAATCACTGTGGCAGATCAGTTCTTGTGGCCTGCCTTGCTGCAGTGTTCAGGGAGGCATGAAAGAGGGGATGCCTCTTTGCTCCTATCATCTGCTTCTGCTGGCGCTGCATCCACGGTGATCTTCTCTGCTGCTCAGACCTCGCCTGCATTTTTCCAAGGGCTGATGTTTCCAGCTGTTGCTCACTTAAGAGAACCTAATTCTTCAGTGACACATTTGGATACCAGATCATCAGTATTGCTTCAGATTATTTGTATCACTGCTTTCTTGTGCACAAAGCTAACGCTGGATTTTTTTTTTGTCCAGCATGTCTGCTGAAGTGTGGAACCCTGGGCTTTGTTGCTTCGACTGTTGAGAGTTATTGAACCTGCATTTGAAAGATGTATTTCTAAACTGTTTGAATTTTTTTTTTTTCTTTTTTTAGATTATGAAAAAATCTTCTCTCTTCTTGAAGAGGTACAAGGACCTATGGAAATCCAGAAGTATTTCATTGAATTTGCTATCAAGGAAGCAGCAAGGTTTGTATGGATAAAAATGACTCAGTCACGAATGGTTACTTTTGATTATGTTAATAAAATATAAAAATGTCCAGTACTGCTACTTTGTTTTCCTATTTTGACGTATTTCAGTTAGCATAGTTGTTCTAGCTGTCAGTCTGCCCTTACTTTTCCTGGAGTAAATGGCCATTAGGTGAAGAAAATGTAGAATAGAAAGATGGTGGTTGTTGGAAGAAAAACTCAGAATTTGTCTGAGTTGGGAATGGTGGCTGTACTAAATCACATTTGTCAGTCCAATCCTCAAGTAAAGGAAGCTCTTCCATGCTGGTAACAGAGGCTCTGGTAGTAGTGTTTGTCATAGCTAAATGATACTGGGTTGTCAAACTGTTGTTTTTTGGGAAATAAATAAATACATAACTTTCTTTCTCTTCCTTAGGTTTAAAAAACGTGTCTTAATACAACACTTAGAGAGAATACTAGAGGAACTAGAGTTCAGCAGCCTACCCAACAGAGTTAATCATGTCAACAGTAGATAATAGTTTACCAGCCAGACGAACACGGACCAGGAATGAGTTTGCTGTGCCGCGGAAGAGTGGAAGAGAATGCAGCTGTTGCCGTCACCATCTTGGCAGTCAACTGATTTTACTGTCAGAGTCTGAGAAGAAGCAGTGGAGCTTTAACTTTACAAACCTCTATCGGCAGGAGCTGGGCTATAACCTTAAGGATTTGCTATGAAAGGTGTGGCTTTTTTCCTGTGGAGGGTGCTATTTGCTCGACAGGCTGAAGAAAATAACCATTGCTGCCCCTCCTGCAGGTGATGAGAATTTACTCATTTGAACACTGTCATTAGACATTTACGTGCTGTAGGCAGCAGGTTGCACTAAATGGGGCACTGTCAAATGCACACACTGTCTGCATCGTGGAGAGAGATCCCATGTGTTCCCCAAAAATAAAAAAACCCTCCCAGAAACACCTGCACTGGTAATATTGCATGTTGCCACCACAGAGACAAGGGTCTTGTTCCTGAGAACTACTAGCCATGCCTTTAAACTTGAGATTCAGTGTAGATTGAGAGTAAAGAAACTGCTATTGTGTTAATGAAAGCTAAAGACAGCCCTGTGACTGTTACCACCTGATGGTCACTAAACAATCTACCTCAGACTCTCTTCTGTTTTGTCTGCAGACATTATGAAAGTGCACCTGAGGCTTCCCAGGTCCCCGACTTCAGTTCTCTTTCATCCTGTGAGGAGGACGGAGATTCTTCAGGTGGCCTTGGCACACGCTGTGCTTTGGAAGCACTAAAAGGAAACGCTTTTAAAAACGTGTATTTTAATGTTCATACAAAAGAGATTATTTTGAACAGTATTGTTACCAGATCACTAATTTGATATTTTAACTGTATAAATTTTTTGGAACATAATGTATATATAAAATAAACCATTTTATTAATTTTTAAGAAGTGCTGATCTGAGGAGTCTGTAGCGGGCAGCATGGAGTTCCGCCAGTTGTCTGTCAGCAGCAGGCTGCTGATGTTTTTGTAATTCTGATCTGCACGCCCTCAAACTCAGCTTATGGTAACAGCTGCAGATCGTGTCTGTATTCATCTTCCTATGGCACGAGCCCTGGGGTGCCTTGCCCCATCAGGCAGTTCAGCTGGTGCAGCTTGTGCATGTTTTCACTCACTGAGTTCCGTCTGACCAAATCCGTGGTTACCTGAGTTGGTATCCTCTCCTCTATTCCTCTTTTGTCAAAAGGCAATTTTATATTCGCAGAACATGCAAAGAAGACTGAAGCACCTGCATGTAATTCAATTCTTCCTTTTAACAGTACCAATAAGATGCCACTAGTAGGTAGCTCTTCAGATAATTCTGTATTTTCAGTTGTTCACGTATGAAAACATCCTCTGATCCTTTAACAGCTTTGTTTTAAACGGCAGGATGAAGTTGTGCTCATGTGAATGAGCTCTTTATGAAGTACTGTGAACATCCTAAGGATTCTATTTGACCAGCCAGCGCGAGAGGCAGGGAAACTGATCAAAGTTGGTGACCTGGACTTCTGTTCCCACTGGTGTTTTCAGGACTAGCCAGCCTGTGAGATGTATTTTCCTTGTTCTCTGAAGGACCTTCTGGAAGTGGTAGTTTGACTGTTGGAATTACACCAGTGAAGTTCAGAAACAAAATAAATTCCAGCAGCAGCAACTCTCTGTTATAATGTTATGTGGATGAAGTGATACAGGGAAAGAAGTTACTGTAAACTCTTAGCTGTTACTTATCTGTACATTTGAACATATTTTTAAAAGATACAGTCATACCTCGGAGATCAGTGATACAAATTGGGATTCGGCTCTTCAGAATCGTTATGTGGAAGTCGTATGTCACCAGAATGGACCTTGCATGCCAAATGTTGGGTTCTTGAGATGGAATTGATTGACAGTAGGTCACATGTACTGCCTGTACATGGTTTTACAATGCATAGTTATGTGCGTCGAATTGCTTGTGATTTTTTAATAGTGTTTTTTAATAGTAGGTGGTAAGAGGAGATGGGCTTCTTCTAGTCAATTCTTACTTAATTTTCTTTACTGATTCCAGGAGAGCTGCTTGATCGCGGTGTGCCTGTGCAGAGGCTGAGTTTTTAGGTAGTGACCTTGTTTGTGTAGTATCTGAACATAATCTTTTGATGTGATACAGTTGGCTGCCAAATCAGGTATAGGGAGATGGTGACCTTGTTTGGAAACCTGTATATCAGAAAATGCACAGGAATAAAATGAATTTGGGTAAGAACATCAGAGGAGAAGCAGCTTTACACTGAACTGGACATGAATCTTCATAAGAAAGAAAGAAGACATGCCATCTTCAAATTGTTCAATGAGAAGATGAAGAAAAGTCTGGATGCACACGGTCCTACATCCCAAATGGAGCACATAATGAACATTGTTTGCTTAGGAAGCCAGTGGATGTTCTCAGACTTGTGTTAAGGAGAATATTAACAGAATCCTTTGTAATACAAACAACCTTGTTTGACGTGGGTGGCAAATGCGTTGAAAAAAATACAGCCATGGCTTTCAAATAGCACAATTCACTTTGATGTGCAACCAGGACAGCCAGGAAGGGTTGTGCTGGTGTCAGACCTTCCTTCTTGTGCGTGGAGACCCTGACCCCTGCAGCAGTGCTGCTGAGTGCGTCTGGTCAGCTTCTGAGCAGCAAGAGTGTTCCATGGGATGAGGAAACGGGCACAGGCTGGGCAGTGGAAATGTGTCTGTGGATGGGATTTGGAAAGCTGCGTGTGCTTTGATCGTACTTGCGTTTGTTGAGCCCTTGTACAAGATTGGAATAATGCAGCACATCTGAAGTGAAATGTTAGGGGAAAAAAACCACAACTGTAGCTTGCTGTGTTTTCCATAAGGAGCATCGTTTAACAGTCCAAGTTAACAGTGTATCTTCATGCTAAAGGTGGAAAAGTGTGGTGCCCTGGTGTCCAGATATCTGTATGTGTTCTGCTTTTTCTGTTGACTCTGATTGGGCATCCTCAGTGCTTATTGTCTTCATTCTTCTCTTACAAACAAGAAGCTTTTCTCTTTCCTGAAGTGAGCCTGCAGCCTTGCTGCTCTCAGGCCCATTTGCTGATGTCTCTCAGGTGCTCCTGTTTCCAGTTTGTGTGCTGTATGTTTATGATGTGCAGGGATGTATTCTTCCCCAGGCCTAGCCAACATCAGAAAGCGACTGTCATCTTCTGAAATAACAGCTGGAGAGGCTGTTGCTCAGCTATGCTTGGCTTTGCAATGGTTAAGAGGTCTCATGTCTCCCTTTACAGGAAAAAGTAATTTTCCCGTAACATTTTTGTTTTGTAGTTTTCTCTGGGTCCTGCCTCTGAGCTGGCTGGCTGAAACGGCAGTGATGTAGTGCATTAAGTTTTGTTTCTTTAATATCTGCTAAGAAGCTTCTGATGGAAAAAATAAGAGTGAAAATGGATTGCCTAATGGAAACAAACAGTTTGTAAAGCTGAACTGGAGTGTTTCATAACAGCCAGCATGGCAATATCACACCTTTAGCAAATGGGCTCTGTAGCACTTGTCCTGAAGAATATGCAACCTAGTTAAGCTGAAAATGAGGCCAAAGACACCTCAAATCTGGCAAAAACAGCATTTGGCAGAGATCTGAAGGAAGGATGTTAGTCACTGGGTTTAAATGGAGCTACAACTTTCAGGTCTGCAAAAACAAGCTCTGAAGTCTGTCAAGTGGAAAAGGAAGAAACGGGAGAAGGAGAATGCTTTGGGATTTAGCAAAAGCTTGTGGCCTGCAGGAATGGTTGTCAATGCTGTGATCAGCTTTTTGAGTGCTTTCCTTACAGTGGCATTTCAGGTGGGGAAGACTAAACCAAAGCCACCGAGTGTGTCTGATTTACTGGGCCATCCCAGTCCAGCTGCAAATCAGCACATGACTTCATCCCTGGAAGCGGCCTGCTGGCTTGGCTTCAGTGTTGGTGCTTTTCTTCTCTCCTGTGTTGACAGTGCTCCCAACTGTCTCTTGGTAGTGGCTGACGCAGCGTGGAGTTCTGCAGGAACCCTGTTGTCCATCAGGGAGTGCGAGTACAGGGTTTGAGAGAGTTGGTGGGAACGGCAGCTGCCTCTTAGATGCTGTAAAAGCCAGTTTCGTTTCATCTGTTTTCTGCTTCAGAACCTTATTTAAGAAGCCTATGAGACTGTTCTCAGGGCTGGGGGTGCAGATGTGGCGACTTCAGCAGCCGATAGTTGAGAGTTCAGAAAAAGGGGGAAGAAATGCTGAGGAAGAGGTTAAACTGCTGGTACAACCTTGCAGTTGGCTCAGTGCAGGGTATTTTCAGATGTGGTGAAACAACGTCACTGTGTATGGCTGCCCTGGACTGGCAGCCACGTGGGTTTTCCTGGAATGGAGACTGCTGATACCGTGTCAAGAAAAGGAGCCTTGAACATGAACTGGGGAGCTGCTAAAGAAGTTGGCGTCTTTGTTTTTGAACTTGGACCGAAGCTTGTGTACAGTTTCTGGTTGAACTGAGAAGAACAGCTTGGTCTGGGAAACACAGCAGAATGGAAACCCCCCAAATGGATTTTTGCTGCAGATCTGTTTTCTGAGAGCCGGGGGAAGTTTTATCTCTTTTATCTTCTGCAATGGGAGTTTCACAGTTATTTTTGATTCTAGGATCAGCTCCAGCTGCAGTGGAAGCAGCCAAACCCCTGGCATTATTGCTGTCATCTCAGTCACTGCCACTCCTCTAATGCAGGCAGTACTGTGTGATGTCCCTGAAAATACTGTGCACCTCTGGCGAGTTTCTGGGTACCTGTGCTGCCCTGGCCGTGCTGAGCAGGACAAAGCCGTTGGCGAGGCATCTGTGTGCTGTGCCTGTTTATGTAAATGTAAAATGTAAAATGCTTGCAGGACAGCGAGGAGGAGGAGAGGCTCAGAGTGTTTCTGTAGCCAAAAGGGCAAAGCTTGTTCTGCACAGCCTGCCTGGTTTTTGTCATTTTCTCAGAGTGCGTGTGTATTTTAATTTTACATCTATTTGTCAATATTTGATTTGTAGAACATATCAGAGACCTTCCATCCTTTAGGAGCGATGCAGTTGGAAGGCTTTCCCTCTTGCTGCTGTGCAGAGGAAGAACCGTGCCCTGCAGCCATCCCACTGCATGGGCCTGGATGGGCGCAGTGGTTGGGTGCACTGGCAGTGAGCACGCTGGGTGTTTGGCAGTGGGCAGCAGGAGTGTGGAAAGGCAGATGCTATTTCTTGAAGTGGTGGTAGTGGTGTGAGCAGGGACTGCGTGCACAACTTGTTTCACTTAGGAAATCGTTGGTGTAATTGAGCTCTGAGCACGGGACATTGAAGGCTTTTTGTCAGTTTCTCTTGCTGCAGTGGTTCTTGGTAAGGGGTGCCTCAGGAATCAAGGCTGCTTTTGTAAGTTGGACAGAAATAACAATGAGCCTTCCTCCCCAGGACTGAAAAGTGCTAAAATTTTTGCTGATTGCAGACTATTATCATGCAGCTGCTCGACAGTGGCATCCCAGCCATGGAAAAATAACATCAGTTCTTGAAGCTATTTTCCAGTCTGTGCAGCATATTACAATCCTTTGTGCACAGCTGGCACATTTAACTTTGATTGTGTCGTTTAAGTGGCTGATCTGAGAGCAGCTTGGATCCCAGTTGCTTGCAGAATTCAAAGCTAAGATTGTCCCAGTTCATCTGCGGTTGGGTATTTTGGAAGGGAGACAAACTATCTCAAGTGCTTCTTGGGCTGCTAATTAGGGTGTCACGGCACTCCTCCGAGAGCATCTTTAAAGAAGGATGGAGGGACTTACCCAAGGTCGTATAGCATGTCACTAGCAAAGATTATAAAATGCATGCCCTAATTTGGTCTTGTACGCTGAATTCTTTCCCTGGTGTTGGAAATCCCACCCAACAGCAGCATGCAGGCTGCTGAGCCTGTGCTGTCAGTGGGCTGAGGAGAGCTGGAGAGAAGGGGCTGGGACAGCGGGGGGGAGGAGGGCTGCAGAGATGTGGCCAAAGGCTGCTGTCTCCTCTTAAAACTCGAGTTCTGGTTTCTGACCTGAGCTGCTCCAGCACCTTGTCTTTCTCAGCCGTTACAAAAGCGTGTTTTAAATTCCTCTGGCATCCCTGGATTCAGTGCTCTCTCCTCTGCCAACAAGCAGTGGGCAGAGCGTAGAAGCCACAATCCAAAGTAGTCATTAGTGGGAGAGGAGATGGTGGGGGACTGGCGAGCTCTAGAAAAGGCCGTTTGAAATACCTTGCGTTCAGCACATCCTTCTGCAGGAGTACGGGCAGAGAGCAGGAATACAAACTCAGTGTGCTTGAAATGCTGCGGCAGCACCATTCCCTCGCCCAGGGCTGGGTGTGGGCAGGGCGTGCAGGGGCTCAGTGCTGCCCTGGGCAGGGAGCTCACCTGGTGCAGGTGAGGTGAGGTGAGGGCAGGAGGCTGTGCTCCTTCCTGGCAGCTGGCAGCATGTTCCCCAGGGGGAAGGCGGTCTGTGGTGAGTCACAGCCCGGGCTGAGAAAGGAAGCTGCTGCTGGGTAGGTTGGGTGCTGGCTTTTTCCATGAGTGAGTGCAACACAGCCCCAAGGAGGCTCTGACTTCACAGAGCGACTGAAAGCTGCCTGGGTTCCAGCTGCAAAATGCGTTCACACAGATGTAACCAGAGAGCGCTTTCCTTCCTAGGGCCTGCATTGCACCTCAGGATTTGGTGTGCTCACCACGTTGAGGCAGGACAGGGCTGAGTGAGCAAGGACGTGAAGGGGACTGCTCATGTCACAGTAGGAAGCCTGTAGGAGTTTGAAAATGCAAGTTAAAGCTCTGCTCTGTCCATCCTTAGACATCAGTGCCCAGAGATGTCTCTCCTGAGATAGGTGCAAATCTAAGCCGTGCCTGTCTTTGGGAGGCTGTGTGCTTGTTCCCATCGCCAGTCGGGACTGTGGTTTTGAGCTGATGGACATCTGTGCCCTGCTGCTCCTCTGGAACCGCATCTGCAGTGACTCACCTTGCTTCTTCCAGGGCTTCTGTCCTAACTTGTGTGTTGGCTGATCCCTGCTGAGTGTCCCAGCTGCTGGGAATGTTGCAGGTTTGAGTTCTTCTGAGCTGTGTGGCTCCCACTTGGTGTGAGAAGCAAGGGCAGAAAGGAGAAAGCCTTGCAGCCCTCCCCAAACCACAAGAAATGTGCACTGTTCATGCTGTGCAGGGTAAGAGGACATCTCGCCCTGTCTCTTCCAGAGGTTGTCTTCTGCTGTCAGCTCTGGCCAAACCCAAGCAGCAGCATTGCTGTGCCTGCACTATGTTTGGGTTTATTAACCAGCCCTGTTCTACCCCAGAGGATATGTGGGTCTGTCCAATGGAAGAAGAGTGCAGGTCTCACTCTGCTGCAGGTTTTCTATTGCGATCCTTTTGGGGCTGTGCTATTCAGGTAGGTATTGCAGCAGCAACACAAGCAGAACTGCTTCCAAGTGGTGATGGTGGTGGAGCTGTGGCTGAAATCCCACTGGTTGCACTGAAGTCCCTGGGCACAGTTCTGTATGTGACAGAGGGCTGCCAACCACTTATAGTGTCTGTTCTCTGCACTGGTGCACCCAGCACAAGGAGTAGATCCCTGCCTCAGCACTCACTGCAGCAGAGCCCTCTCAGGGCCCTGGGGCTCTGTGCACATCAGCTCTGGCCTTGCATGGCTGGCCCTGAACTTCCCTAAACCACACAGCTGAAAATTCTTGGGGGAGGAGGGGGTGATTTTTCTGTTTTAAATCTGGAGTGCCTGCGGCTGAACCTAGGGAACAGGTTCAGCAGCACCAGCAAGGGCAGGAGGGCACTGCCTGGCTGCGATGATTGCACTGGGCTCTGTGTGTTCCCGTGGACCACTGGTGTAGGACAGGCCATTGGTTGGATAATCCCATTTTCACCCTTTTTTCCCCTTCCTTCCTTTAAAAGTGACTGATTAAGTGTGACACGGCATAGCCTGCACCCCTGCTGAAGGGGTGCTCGTGTTCACTGATGCTGTGTTCTATGCTCCTGTGTTCAGTGCTCCTGCATTCTGCGCTCCTGACAGCCTTCCTGCTTCTGCCAGGCTCTGTCTGGGCTGCCTCTCTGCTTCATGAACTCCAGTTTGCCTTTCGTGGCTGGAAAACGGATTAAATGAGCAAGACAGGAGAATTAATTAGCTGCCATTTTAAGGATATAGCTTTTGTTGCGGTCTGAAGTGTTTTGAAATGACATTGTGTCACTGAGACAAATGTTGGACTGATTAACAGGCCTTCACCTGCTGGGGTGCCCCATCTATTCATACTGCACTTCTCCCCCAGGTGGTGAAGGTTCCAAGGTGACCCTCAAGGCCAAGCAGCCAGGGGGAGGTTTGCCTTCCCTGCTGGTTGTGGCCGAGGAAAGCTGGTATCAACGTTTTCTGCTTGTTTAACATTCAGAACAGCTTTTCTGTGCCCTTCCCCTGGATGCTGGCTGTCTGCCAGGCCTGGGGGCAGCAGGAATTGCATGGGGATCTGCGGGATCCAGCTCCTATGGGGAGGGAGAGGGGAGAGAAGAGAGACAGACCTTTGCGACACCAGACCTGGAACAAACGCGTGCCATTGAAGTCATTTTCAGAAGAGGTGCTGCAGTTCTGCCCTTACTGACCCCTCTTGGAGCACAGAGTTCTCCACCAGAGATCTCCCAGCCCCTGGCAGGGAACGATCTGTGACACAATGAATGCAAATTATCAGCTCCTTTTTTTTTGTTTTAGAATTTCATGTAGTAGAAACGTCGCATCCTGCAGCCAAATCAGTTGAAGGCGGGTAGAAGAGTGTTGGGTGAGGCTGAAACTCTTCCTATTTGGTTTCATCCAAGGGGCTGTTGGCACAACTTATGTTTGCTTTTCAAGAAGGCTGGCTTATCTGTGAGGAACTGCCATGCAGGGTAAGCACACTGCATCCTTGGGAGCGGGTTAAGCTGCTTTAAGACACCAGTTGCTGGCTTTTGCACCCTTGTATTCAGTGCCGGATGCAGGCAGCTGTGACAGCACAGGAAGCAGATGAAGGGTGAGCCTGCTGCTTTCTTCACTCTGTAGTTAAGCAAGCTCCTCTATTTTGATATCTTTCCAACCTTCCCCTAAGAAAAGCAGAACTGGCAGTGCAAAGAGATCTTGCTCAAGTCTGCGATTGGAGCTACCTCCAGCCTGGAAGCAGTCTGCCTGCTCCCCCAGCAGCTGTTGCAAGAGCAGCCCTTGCTGGAGCCTGTCCTTGTGGGCAGGCAGGGCTAGGAAAGCCTTTGCTATGGTTAAACGGAAGGCAGAAAACATGTTGGCTGAGGGTTGCCAAGGCAGAAAACCACCGGCCTGTAACATTTTCATCCAAAGCGTCTTCTTTCGCTCCTTGCAGCACGTTATGTTCATTCCATGCGCTGATCTTATCTCCCAGAAATGAACACCAGGCCAGACACACACTGTCACACAGAGCTGCCATCATTAAGGCAAGATCACTTATTGTTGATAGAGTCGCTTCAATATGCTCTCACTGGGGATTTCCTGCAGCAGGCTCCAGGTCAGAAATAAAGGCCACTCCCAAACGCTTCTTAAGATATCAGTTTTTATTGGACATTGCAAGATCAATAAGAAAAAATAATTTGTACAGCTTTGTACACCATTGCTGCTGAAGAGTAAGGCTACTTGTCACATCACAGAGACCTGGTGCAGCCAACAGGGTGCTCCCAGCATGACTCACATCTGAGGAACCAATGTTTCTCCAAGAATGACTTACAACTGTCAGATGGTAGCACCGCCCACCGTGGACAGGCCTGCGTAGCCTTACCATAGCACAAATGGGGCTTCTTAGACATATAAGGTGAGCAGCCTTGCTCTAAGATACCCTCTCCCAATGGCTCACTGCCAACCACAGTTGCAGGATCAGTCTGGTACAATGATTACAGACCTTTGGCCTCACTTTCCCTCCCTGACACCAGCTGGGGGGAACCAGAACACTTAAGGTTTTAATTGGCAGAGTAACCCTTTCCAACCAAACCCAGATGTTTAAGAGTGATTGTAGAGCAGCAGCTACGGGTATTGCTCTAGCATTGGGGCACCCAATCCATAGGATGGGCAGAGCTAGAAAGAGAGGCTTCAGTTTACACAGTAGTTTTTGCTAAGCTTTTTGCCTTTGACGGTTCTTAGCTGTTTAAAAAACAGGTGCTAGAACAAAAGGTTGATTTTGCACAGAGGCAGTGAGACATCATCAATTCTAGCTGGCCCCATCAGTATCTCGCACTGCCCTCTCTTTGCTATGGCAGGTAGGTGGGAGAAGAGCGTTCCACTGCTGGACTGAAATGCCAGACCAAGGAAAACGTGAGCACTGATTCAGCCCCTAAGAGGGGATCAGAATTTAGAAGTCAGTAGTTAAGGACTGCATCATCTGTCCTAATAAACACAATCAAGACAGTCATTTTAAATCACCGCCAGGCTCAGCTAGAAAAAGAAATCAATTTTAATGGCTCTGTAGGCAGAAAAGGGGAAACTGCACTATAATTAGCTGAATACCTGTACTGTATTAATGCCAGCAAGCAGACACAGCTGCTGGACTTCGCCCTTGTAACCTTTACAGAAGGGGCACCGCTTACTGATACTTAAATACCTCTCACAGAAGATGGGAACTAGTATCTGCTACCATTCAGAGGTACTTCTGCACCATTCAGTCATCTGTATTCACAATCAAAGAACAAAAATGCAGTGGGGGAAGGAACTGAGCACAGTAGATCATTGATGTGATCAGCAGTGAGCTGCCTCCCCCACGCAGGCACCAACTGTGCAGCCACAGCCCTGGCAAACAGGGCAACGTAGGACAGTTTGCTTTTAAAGACAGGAGGGCAACAAGGAAATCATTTGATAATGAAGAATTAAGGAGGAAAAAAAAAAAAACAACCAAAACAAAACCCTTCACAAAACCACTTTCCAGTATTGTAAAAAAATAAAAACAAAATGCAACCATTCTGACTTCCTGTACCTACACCACACGGGTCTCTGTGGCTCTGTATGAACAGGAAACACTGCCCTTTTTCTGCTGATAAGTGATGCAGTGCACACAGTATTTCTGAAGGAGTTTCTATAAACTGTAGTGCAAGCAAACTGAGAAAATAAATAGCACTCAAACATTCCCTCCTAGCAAAGAACAGTAATCGTGGTAAAATCTAGCTTGTCTTTCATTTTAGCTGAAGTTAGGTTACCTGCAGCTTTGTTAGCATGTGAAATTTTGAAGATGTGCTTCACAGCATAACTGTAGAATAATTTACACCGCATTGCCAATTTGTTTTCATCAACAGCATACAAAGAAGGTCCTTAGTTTTTATATATATATACTTTATAAAGTCTGGAAGATCAATATAAATACTGCTCCAGAAATCAAAAAAAAAAGTGTTTACATCCCCGACTTCAATTTACATCTCTGTGTCCTGGGTTCTCGTTAGGATCTGTAAAAGTCTTAGCGGCGCAGAGGTTCAAGTTTTCGAAATTTCAGTGACGAGCTGGATGACAAAGCATCTTGATTTGAAGAATTCACTGTGTCTGGGGACTGGAACAATACTCTACCACGGTGATTAAATACATAAAAAGATGGATGGTTCCTTAACGTCTCAAACGTCCTTCAAAACAAAGGCAGATTGTCAGCGTTAATACTGTTTTAGAGCAGGACTTTCAGAAGGGTCAGTCTGGGGTATTCCAGCTTTTACAAAGCAATGCAGGTTTTGGAAAGAAAACTCAGGAAGGCCATGCTCACCTCACGTGTTTTCTAAACTAAGAGAACATAAGACAAGGGGGAATGGCTTTAAACTAAAAGGGGACGTTTAGGTTAGATGTCAGCTCTTGATTGGAGGGCTGCACTGCTGCCCAGAGAGCTGTGCTCCACCCCTGCAGGTGTTCAAGGCTGGCTGGGATGGGGCCCTGGGCAGCCTGAACTGGTGGGGGCACCCGGCCCATGGCTTGGAGGTAATGATCTTCAAGGTCCCCTCCAAAGGCATTCCATGAAATACAAAGCCTGACAAATTCTGTGTGTTCAGTTTGCAGAGGCTGCCCATACTTCTGTCAAACTTCACTTTCCTTCCCTGAGCTCAGGGCAGAGCTGTGGATGGCTATTTGCATGTATACCACACGTCACAGCCTCATGACTTGTAACACTGTCAGTTTCCCATTCCTTTCTACGTCTGAACTTCAGGGTTTTAAGTGCTATGAAGCAATGCTATGGCAATGTCAACTTGTTTAGTTTCCATATTCTCCTAGGCTCACAGGAGTGGACAAAAAGGCCACCCCTGCATCCTAACTTCACACCCTTTTCAAAATCTCAGTTCAAAGTTCATTATTTTCTTGAAATCTGCAGAAATCTGTCATTCTGCCTGGAATATTTCACTGTGAGATTCAAACAACACAGGCTTTTGCTGTGAAGAAGCCATAAGCAACGGGGGGTGTGACAGGCACACGGCCCCGTGATACGTGAGACTGCCTCACAACAGTGCTCTGTGACTGCTGAGCTCTTACTCCCCAGGCAAACATTTCTGCACAGCAGGATTTTGGAACAGAAGTAAAGGGAAAATGTATTTAATTTGTTCCAGTTTTCTAACTCTCTGCCTTCAGTTCCACATGTTATTGGCTTCCCCAAATATGACTGATTCTGTGTGCCACAGCAGTGTGTGTGAAGGAGCTGAGCTAAGGAGAGGCCAAGCCTGATGCTGCCACTTCACAGACGTGCCCCATTCGCACAGAGCGTAACGGATGTGTTTATGAGAAGAAATAAAACATACTTATTTTTTAGTTCTGAAGTAGCATCCATGTCTTTAAACTCTCCTGCGATATGTACAATCCCATAGCAGGTAACTGCAAAGGCTAACAGAGTCTGAAGAACTATCTGTAAGAGAGGGGAACAATGCAACACACCGATTACTAAATATTCTTCATGGTAACAAAAAAAAAATCTCATCTTTCAAACTGTGTCTCCTGCACTTTTCACCCAGTGACAGAAAGTGCTTTCCAGCTCAACAGCAGGGAAACTGAGGCACGGGATTATTCAGCAACAGAGATGAGAAAAGCTCACAGCACCTGACAACCTGTCTGTGCTGCATGAACTGCACTGATTCGCACAGCTCCAGGGGGAGATCTGCACAACAACACGTTTTTCTCATGCACTTAAGGATCTAATGTTCTTCCAGAGAAGTGTATCAGTGCCCAATGGTAGCTGCACAGAGGGGAGGGGTGCTGTTTGTAGGGGGTGAGCATCTCCTCACCTTTGAGGTTACACAAAACCAGAACAGAGAACTGGAGTGGAATTTAAAAAAAGAAAAAAAAAAATACAGAAGGCCCTTTGGAAGCTGGTTGTGCTGGCATCAGACGGGCACAGAGCCACGCTAGATAAACAAATGTCAGCCAACAAGAGCCAGAGGGAGGATGGTGTTTATGCTGCAGAGCAGGAGACGAGGGCAGCAGCTGTCTGGAGCTCAGGCTGCGCTCAGGGAATGCCTGGCTGAGAGGCATCAGGACAGGGGGAGAGCAGAGGGCCGGGCCGTTGTGCCCTGACAGACACAGCTACGGGATGTGGGGATGGAGAAATCGCGTTCTTTTCAACAGAAGAAACCTGAATTGACAGGTAACCTAAAAGCTGCTCCGCCGCGGATTCCTGCCTATCACATCAACACAAGAGAGACTCAGCTACCAGCACGGCACCACGCTTCCCAACCACCCGCACGACCCCGACTTACATCTATGGGAAGCGTCTCGTCCTCCTTCTCTGTCAGCCGCATGTAGGAGCGATCTGCAACACACAAACGCGCGGGGCGTCCAACACGGAGCCCGGCCCGACCTCCGTGGACGCGGCACCTCCACCCCGCGCCGACCGCCGCGCACGGACACGGCCGGCCATCCCGGCCCAGTGCAGCTCCGAGCCCCGCGTCCCCCCCGCCCTGCAGGGCCGCAGCCCGGCCCCGAGTTCCCCGGCGTGCCGACCGCGCCCCGCCGACCCCCCCTCCAGCCTTCCGCGGCGCTGACGCCCGGCACACTCACGCTGCGCCGCCGAGAAGGCCGCGTGGGCCAAAGCGAAGAGGCCGAGTCCCACCAGCCCCTTCCACAGCGAGGCGGCCGCCATCCTGCCCGCCGCGCCGCCGCCAGGGGCGCCCCTACCGGGCGCGGGGTGATGGCGTCACGGGCGGGCGGGGCCACGGGGGGTCGGGACGGGAGGCTGGTGGGCGTGGCCTGCTGGTTTGTGGAGAGCGGTATGTATGGTAGTGGGCGTGGCCTGAAGGCTTGTGGGCGGGGCAGTCCCGCACCCCTCCCCGCGCCGCAGCCCCGCTCGCTGCTCGTCACTCGCTTTGAGGACTTTTTCTCCTCTCGCCCACCTCGCAAACAGTCGCTTTGCGGCCCCGGCCGCATCCTCACCCCCACCCCGGTGCCAAACTTCGGCCCCGCGGTCTCCGCCCCTATCCGGGCTCCCGGCGCCGCCGTCCCCGCCCCGCGCCTGCGCCCAGCGCCGCTTCCTGCTGGCGGCGGGGCCGGGCCGCGCCGTGCCGGGGCGATGGCGGGGCCGCGGCGGTGGCCGGGCTCGGGTCCGGTGCTGGCGGCGGGGCTATGGCTCGGGGCGGCGGCGGCGGCGGCGGGACGACCCGGGGCTCTGGAGGAGGAGATCGTGTCGGAGAAAGCGGCGGAGGAAAGCCACCGGCAGGACAGCGCCAACCTGCTGGTCTTCATCCTCCTGCTCACCCTCACCATCCTCACCATCTGGCTCTTCAAGCACCGCCGCGCCCGCTTCCTCCACGAGACCGGGCTCGCCATGATCTACGGTGAGGGGCGCGGGCACGGCCGTCCCCTCCCGCCGGCACCCCGCGCACCCCCGGGGGCGGCGCCCCGATCCGCGCCTTCTCGCCTTCATCCCGGTGGCGGCGGGGTGCGGGCGGAGCCTGCGGGGGGCGCGGGCCGGGGGGCGCGGCGTGGCCCGCACCGTGCCCAGCTATGGGCTGTGCTGGAGCCCCGGGCACGGGCTGCTGCCGCAGTTGGTCCTCCTCGTGCCCCGGGTGTGCAGGTGGAAACCCGGGTGTGCCAGGGTCATGCGGTGCGGTTTGAAGGCCGAGCGGCCCTTGGCTGGGCGTTGTGCCGGGGGAATGATTAACGCGGGCACGGAGCCTTATCCAGGCAGGAGCGATGAGCGTAGCATAGGAAAAGGCGTCTTGTGGTGGGTGTTGGAATCGTGCCGCCCACCCCGGGTGTTGTGCAGCCACGCTTGGTCGTGGCTGAGCTGCCCGTGGAAGGAAGCCCTGCTGTGAGGGTGGTGGCCCGCTGTGTTCCTCACCTCCTGCTGCCCCACGGTTCAGCTGCAAGCATCCTTCAGAAAGCTGTGGGGAGGCACGCGGTGCCTGCGCTCACCCATCCCTGCTCACCCATCCCTGCTCACCCATCCCTGCTCACCCATCCCTGCTCACCCATCCCTGCTCACCCATCCTCGCAGGCCCTGGTTGTCACCTCCTGGTTGCACTGTGCTCTCAGAGGATGAACCTCATCATCTCGGTTTCTAAAACGCATCTTTTCCATCGGCTGTTTCACAGGCTGCACTTAGGGAGGTGTTGGCAAAAAAAAAGTAACATCTCCTGTCTGACCAGGCAGAAAATCCCAACTTCTCACTGCTTTTTGTGCTCTGTACCTCGGGTCAGAACAGGGACGTGGTTTTGGTGGGAACCTGCTGTTCTGCAGCAACAACCTAAAAGCTGCTGGGAACAAAATCAGCGGCTTCAGCTTGGCCATACCCGGCTCCTGTGATGCTTTCAGCCCAGGTGAGATCAGTAGAAGACGTGGAAGTGCTGCAGCAGGAGGGCTGCACAACAGCCCCTCACATCTGGGCAGAGGAGCAGTTTGTAAAAGCTTGTCTTTTTCTAGTTGGAAAAAAAAAAAAAGCCCAAGAACAGAACTTTTGCATGCATCTTTCGTGCTGACTTACTTCACAACTCCCTGGTGTCTGTGTTCTCACCCTGAGTTGTAAGCTGTTGCTTCGGGTGGATTTATACCTTACAAATTACACTGTTGGCTCAGGGCTGGTGTTCAGGAGCTGGAGTTATTTCACTGGGATAGACAGTAGGTGCTCAGCAGCCCCTAGGCTTCATTTCAGTGTTTAAAATTAGGTTCCCACACTCCAGGTACTCAGCATTTAGGCCAATTAAATGAGCAGTCTCGTTTTATTTCGGCTCGGGGGCTGGCGGGGATGTGCCGAAGCTTCTCCAGAAGTTCAGTTTCCTTGTACTGGTTCCCTCTTGGCCCCTGGATTCATCCCGGCTGGGTGTTGGCACGGTGCTTTTGGGTGCTCACTGCATTTTTCTTTCCTTTTAGTGCCCAGATTAATGTGTGCCGTTGGCTTCCTGGTGCTGCTGCCATAATCTGTTAGCCTGTATTTTAAATCTTAACTGAGATATATTCAACAGCACCTGGGAAAAAAAGAAAAAAAAAAAAAAAGCCCGTGGGCTTTTCTTCTTTTTAATGAAGTTGGGATAAATGCAATGAAAATGAAGTCGTACTTTGCATAGAAGAACTCCATGAATTCTCTGGCCATGCCTGTAGCTCCTCGCTGCTTGCAGCTTCCTGGTGTCAGGTTCTCACTTTTGTCCCATGTTGATACTGGTGGGTGGCTCACAGATTGCTGCTAGGACAGCCCTTCAAATGCCAGAGGTTTTTAAGGTATTTCCTAAGAGACCATCAGAAAGAAGAGGACATGCTGGGCTTGGTCTGCTTAGCCCAGGGCTGGTGCTGGTGTCTGACAAGTTGGGCCGTCTGGGTCAGGTTTGTGCCAGGAGCCTTTGGGCAGCTCCCTTACATGGGAGGTGAGCAGGGAAGGTTGGCTCCAGAGCATTCCCATTCCCTTCCTTCTCCTGTTGCTGGCCAGAGCTGGGATTTGGCTGGCATGTGGGGCTGGGAACAGCTGCGTGAGTAAGTGAGCTGGTGAGGATGAGCACCGCTATCAGATGTAGCCCCTCTTTGGGACAGGGATTAAGAGGTGAGAGGTGGGTGGGTCAGGATCCTTCCTGAATTCCCAGCCACCACCAAAACCTCTCCCTCCTTCCCCTGAGCAGGGCATCTCATTTCAAAGCCACGAGTCCTGGTGTCCCTGGGTGGGATTCCGGCTGAGGAGACAGACAGCTGCCACAGGAGTTTCTGGCTGTGCTGCCTGAATCAAGGAGTTTCCAAACTTTTTTGTGCAGAAGGCCAAGTGGAAAGAGTCCATGGGACATCCCGTGCTCACAGCCTGTGGCTGTCAGGAGGCACTGCTGGGAGAGTGTTCAGTGCACTGTGCCTGAGAGGGGGAGCTGGAGGAGCTCATGCTGGCAAATGCCATCAATCTGGATGCAAGACCTTGGCGTGCAGCTAACGAGCTGTGCTGCAAACGAGGACTGCCATATAAACTGCTGACTTGTAAATCCACCCCACTGGACCCCAGCAGGCAGCGTTGGCTCACCCGTAGGTTGATGCTGGTGGTGTGGAGACAAAGCTTGCAGGGCACTGAGCAGAGCACAGTGATTGGCCCCAAATGTTACCCTGAGTTACTGCAGCAGGCATTGCTGCTGGGAAGCTCCCTGGTGCAGGAGGTGGCTGCGTGGCTCCACTGCCTGGTGGGTATGGTCTTGCTGTGTGGGGAAGAAGGGAGCTATTCCCATTGTTTCATGGAAGGAAGAGTGTAGAAGTTCATAGAATGACTCTGCTGGTCTGGAGTGAAGGAATTGATGGCACAAAAAGTGACCCCAAACCATCTGTGCTGTTCTGGCCAGTGTCTGTGAGAACCCCTTCACTCTGGCCTGGGACAGAAAGATGCTTACTGTCCTCAAAGCATTCACAACAGCTCCTGGTGTCTTTTTAAATCCCCTGCCAATTGTATTTCTCTGCTGGTGTTTCATGTTCTATCAGGTCTTCACCTTCAAATGCTCACAGCGTCCATCCCCGGCCCTTTGTGCATCTCTCCCCAGGTGTCCTGGTTGGTGTGGTCCTGCGCTACGGCATCCACGTCCCCAGTGATGTCAACAACGTGACTCTGAGCTGCCAGGTGCAGACCAGCCCTGCCACACTGCTGGTGAACGTCAGCGGGAAGTTCTATGAGTACACTCTGAAGGGGGAAATCAGCGCCCACGAGCTCAACAATGTCCAGGACAATGAGATGCTGAGGAAGGTAAGGGTGCTGGCAAAGGGATGGGGTGCTCCTCACCAGTTCCAGTGGGTTTGTGCAAAAATACAGAAACCCTGTGTCCGCTGGATCGAGTGATTGTTTTAATCAGTATTTGCTTTGGTTCCATGCATTGTTAGCTAACATGCAATGTAATGAAGCTGTGGTTGCAGCTGATCTTAACTTGAGCTGCTTTGGGCTGTGGGTCTGAAAGATCCCTGACACCTCTATGCCCACCTTGTGGGAGTACAGGGTATCTCATAGCTCATTCTTCCTTCTTTTTTGTCTTGCAAAAGCTTAACAAACCATTCTACTGTTTTTTTGTGTGTGTTTGTTTTACAGGTGACTTTTGATCCTGAGGTGTTTTTCAACATTTTGCTTCCTCCAATTATATTTTATGCAGGCTACAGCTTAAAAAGGGTATGTGCCTTTACAATGCCCACTTTTCAGTTCCTTTGCCACCAGAGCATTTTTTATACTTGAGAGTACTTTGAAGCTTGCTTAGCAGCCACTGCTGTGGAATGGAGTGCAGTGTTCCCAGTGCACATAGGATGGTGGGATGCAGGGTTGTGGGTCTCATTCTTGCCCCAGGAAGAGTTGGTGACTTGAGCTGTTGGCAGCACGGATTTGTGCAGGGGTTTGGGTGTGAGCTGGACCATTCCAGCCATCCCAACTTCTGAAACACTTTGGAGGAGGGAAGGTTTTAGAAAGCTCTGAAATGGAGAGGGAGAGGAAAACGACTCTGTTTAGCTTGCGGGAGAAGGAAGGAGAACTCATGCTGCATTAGGAAATCAGTTCCCAAGGCTCGGAGCAGCACCTTATTAAATACATTGGTACAGGAAAATATCCTCATGTTTATTAATGCTGCACCAGCTGTGCTGCTCTGGCTGCACACCGTGCTGCTGTGCTCATGCAGCTCGTGGTATTTGCAGCGGACACAGGCTGCAGTGGGTATCTCTCCATTGGCACAGCTTGAAATAAATTGTTAGTGAGGTGTCATTCATTTTCTTTCA